TATGCAGTTCACCTCTGAAAGTCTCAAATCAGCATGTCTTCTCCACATTCTCAGGTAACGTATTCCAGATCCTAACGACGTGCTGTGTTTAAAAGTAAATTCCATGTGTCGCTCTTGTTCTTTTGCTGAACACCTGAAATTGATGTCCTCTGTCTCTCGACCCTTATGCCAATCTTCCAATAGTGAGCAAGGGGATCTTTTAGTTCTAATCAAGGGAGTAGAGAGGGCACTTGTTTCACCACTTTTTTCACATGACGTAATGTGGGTGTTGCTGATGAAGCCAGCATTTATTGTCCATGCATAATTGTCCTGGAGTAGATGGAGATGGAGGTGAACTGCCTTCTTGAGGCGCTGCAGTCCATGTGGTGTTGATGCACCCACAGTGCTCCAGGGAAGGTGTTCCAGGATTTTGAACCAGTGACACTGAAGGAATGACTATGTATTTCCAAGTCAGGATTGTATCTGGCTCAGGGGAACTTACAGGGGCTGGTGACCACACATATCCGCCGCCTTTGCCTTTCTAGGTGACAGAGATCTTGGCTTTAGAAGTTGCTGTTGAAGGAACCTTGGCAAGTTGCAGCATTGCCTCTTGTGGAGGGTACACGTTGTGGTTCGTTGGTGATGGAGGAAATGAATTTTGAAGGTGAGGATGGGGTTCCAGTCAAGCGGGCTGCTTTGTACCGGATGATGTTGAGCTTCTTGGGACTTGTTAGAGCTGCACTTGTCCAGGCAAATGTGTGAGTACTCCATCACACACCTGACGCGTATTTTGTAGATGGTGGACAGCTCTTGGGGATTTGGGAAGTGAATTATCACCACAGAACTCCCAGCCTCTGACCTACTTTTGAAGCCGGAATATGTATATGGCTGGTTGAGTTCAGTTTCTTTATTCTGTTTCTTCCTCATGGGATCTGCGTTTTCATGGCAAAACCAACATTTGTTGCCCATTCCTGATTGACTTTGAACTGAGTAGCCTCCTCGGCCATTTCAGAGGGCAGTTAAAAGTTAACTACATCACTGTGGGTCTGGAGTCATATTCAGGCCAGAGACATAAAGAACAGCAGATTTCCTTCCCTGAAGGACATTAGTAAACTAGATGGGTTTTTAACAAGAATTTGATGATGGTTGTCATGGTCACCATTTCTGAGTCTGGTTTTATATTCCAGATTTATTAATTGAATTTAAATTCAGCTGTCCTGTTGGAATTTAAATCCCTGCCTGTAGAACATTAACCTCCACTGCTAGTAGATTATTAAATTGCTAGTCCATTGACATTACCGTTACACCACATCTTTGCCTTATAGTCAGGATGTTGATGGTGGAAATTTCAGCAATGGCAAGGGGCAGCTGGTTAGGTTCCCACTTGTTGGAGATGGTAATTACCTGGTAACTACACTTGTGCAGATGTTATTTGCCACTCTTCAACCCAATCCTGGATTTTAGGTCTTGCTGCATTTAGTCACATATTACTTCAACATCTGAGCAATCGCTATTAGACTGAACATTGTGTAAATATCTGCAAACATCCCCACTGTTGACCTCACGATGAGGGAAGTTAATTGATGAAGCAGCTGGAGGCGGTTTGGTCTACAGTGCTATCCTGGGGAAATGCTTTGGGAAGTCCTGGAACTGAGATGATTGACCTCCAGCAACCATCACCATCTTCCTTTGTACTAGGTATGATTCCAGAGAGTGGAGAATTTTTTTCCCTCATTCACATTAATTTCAATATCTTTCAGACTCTGAGATGTCAGTCAAATGCTGCCTTGATATCAATGGAAGTTACCTCTTTCTTCACCTCTGAAGTTTAGCTCTCCTCTCTATTTCAGACCAAGGCTCTAATGAGGTCAAGAGCCAGTTTCTACTGGTAAAATTTCAACTTAGTGTCAATGAGCAGGATGTTGCTGAGTAAATGATGCTGGATAGCACTGTCCGCAATTCCATCCATAATTCTACTGGTGATCAAGAATAGACTGATAGGGCAATAACTGGCTAGGTTGGATTTGTTCTTTTTGTGGACAAGATGTACCTGGGCCACTTTCCATATTGCCAGGAAGATACCAGTGGGTCAAATTGTAGGAGGAGTTCAGAAAACTAGGGTTGTGTTCCCTAGAAGTTAGAAGGTCAAAAAGTGATTTGATCAGAGTTCTAAAAATACTAAGGGAACAGGTGTAATAAATGGAGAGGAACTGTTCTCACTGGCTGGACAGTCTAGGAGTGGAACTAAGGAACACTTCTACACACAAGGGTGGTACAAGTTGAAACTCTCTTTCAGCGGTTGATGCTAGATCAACTGTGAAATCTGAATCTGAGTTTGGGAGAGTTTTGTCCACCAAAGGGACTAAGAGATCTGAGACAAAGTTGGTTCGTGGAAGGCAGATCACAAATGATCCATGACTCAATGGGCTGTATTTTAACTCCGTTTATTTCCCTCATCTGGGCTGAAATGGCTTGGCTAGGGGTGCGGCAGGTTTTGGAGAAAAGTGCTCTCAGGAGTTCTTTTATGCTATTGCCAGAATGTTGTTAGGCCCTCATAGCTTTTTAGTATCTAGTGCCTTCAGCCATTTCTTGAAATCACTTGGAGTTAATTGAACTGACTGAAACTGGCATCTGTGATGCTGGGGCCCTCAGGAAGAGGCCTTTATGCTCTGAAGACAGCATAGGAGGAAGACATTCAGCGAAGGGACTGCTTTTAAGTAGAAGTTGAACACCGTTTTATCACTAAAAGTACCAGGTGAGGTTTTGCAACTTGAAAACCAAGTGGTTTGTGTGGTGAACACTATAGATGCACAAGATTCTTACTTTTTAGAGTAGTGAGGTGGACACTTGGAGAGAGTGGCACCAGAAATCTTTTGAGTTAAGGAAAAAAACTGTTTAACGATAGTCTTTGGGTTGGTCCAGTTGCAATTCGTTAGAGATCTGTGGGAGCAGTTCACTCAGACTACCAAGAGCCTACAAACAAAAAGCATCTCTTACTGTCTGTCTCCGTGAATGAAAAAGACAAAGCTAAAGTCTCTGAAAAGAAAGAGTTCTAGTGCAAGGAAAGACCTAGGTCCATCTGATTTGCCATTGGACAATATCCTGTCCCTAACAACAAAAATAACTGAAAGCAGTTTGAGAATCTATTCATCCCACCCTTGTATTCTGGACTTTAACTTTAGGATTTGTTTTTCTCTATATTTTCCTGCCTGTAATATTTATGTCCAACTTTTTTTTTATCGGTATTATTCACAAATGAATATGTGGGTGTTTATGGTTTTAAAGGGATATTGCTTAAGTTGCATGGCTGTAATAAGTCATCCATTTTTATTTGCAATTTAGAGTCATACAAGCATAGAACCAGACCCTTTGGTCCAACTCATTCATGCTGACCAAGTTTCCTAAACTAAACTAGTCTCACTTGCCTGCATTTGACCCATATCCCTCTAAACCTAACCCTCCATTAAATGTAAAGCCATACGCAAAAGGAAACCATTAACTTCCTAGAAACGGCAATATTTAAACTGACATGATAGGCATAAGATTGCAGTAAGGTTTTTTTAAAATAAATGACACACACTTCCATATGTAGAAATCCATCACCTTAAACTCACATATTGCAGACTGGTAAGGTCAAAGCTAATTGCTTGCAAGATTGTCTCTAATACTGTCACTGCACCTCAAGTAGCTCACACAATGTCAAGTACTTTTAGATGTGATAAATCTTTGTGAAATAAAACTAGGTTGTATTAAGTTATCCAGTTGCAAAGTATTCAGTACATTACCATCCACCACATATTCCCCATATAGTATCTCCTGAACTTCTGCAGCCTTAAGCTAGAAACTCCACATTCATTTGCAAGAAATTCATTAGCTTAGTGACTTACAGATTTCCTGATTCCTGGTTAGCTGAGTATTTCTTTGTTGAAAGGTTTAAAGCTGCTTGCTCCCATATACACCTTATCACCTGTCTGCAGCCCCTCTGTCCACTTTTGCAGTTCCCTCTTCTTCGTTTGCAGCCTTTTTCATTCCTTTCCAACTCCTCATTCCCTTTTTGCTGCCACCCTCTTCACTTTTATAGCTACATTTGGCCCGCAGGAGTCCCAGCCTCACTACTGTCTGCCTGCGGAATACCCCCACTCAGGTTCCTAGCCTTGCCGCCCTCACTCCCCCCTCCAGCCACACTTACCATGGACAGCCTCACTACGTCTAATTCACTGTGAGCCTATCAGCAGCAAATGCAAGAGAGAACCAGCTTGCAGTTGGGAGGGGCAGCTCGTCAGAGACTCTGACAGCTCCACGTAAGGAGGCGACATTTCTCTCACTGGTTTCCAAAATGGTTGAATTTTCCTGAGTGTTTTAGGGGCTTTCGAGGTGAATTCAGCACTTCTTCCTATGTGTTTTGAGCACTGATAAATATACATAACAAATACATGTAAAATTATAAAATAATAAACATGGAATACTAGCAGAAAACCCCATGGTGTTGTTCAGAGTTGGATTATATAGGGAACTACATGGTGCAGGGGTCATTTGGCCATCCTTGCCATTTCCTCTCACCCATGTATATTTTCTCTTTTTAAGCTTTTGTACAATTGTGCCCAGAATGTAATTGCTTATTCTGTTCAAGAATAACTTTGTCTGTGATAGGTAAAGTTATTTCCCTGTTAATGATGAAACCTGCTGTGAATTACTTTAGTCCTGAGTTATAGTCTGTCAGTCAAATTGATCACCATGGTAGTTTAATTTGGTGGTTACACATTTGTGACAACAAATGGAATAGTTGTGCTCAATTGTCAGCACAGTTTTCCCAATTGAGTTGAGATACAACCCATCGAGCCAGGGCTGATTTGTGGCCAACTTTCACAAACCACTTTGTCTTAGATCCCTTAGTGCCTTTCTTTCAAACTCTGATTCAGAATTCACATCTATCATCAATTGCTGACAAAGAGTTTCAACTTCTCTCATCCTTTGTGTGCCGAAGTGTTCCTTAGTTTCACTCCTGAAGGCCCTGGCTGTGTCCTTCCTGAACTGTCCAGTCGGTGCAAATAGTTCCTCTCCATCTACCACATCTGTTCCTTTTAGTATCTTGAGAACTTTGATCAAATCACCTCTTGACCTTCTAACCTCCAGGGAGTATAACCTTACTTAACCTAATCTCCACTACAGGGCAATTTAGCACGGCCAATCCACCTAACCTGTACTTGTGGAGTGTCATCCCCTGAACTGCCCACAGTAACTGCAGCTGTACAATCAAGGCTTTGTATCAATGAAATATGTGTGCATTATCGGTCCTTGAGATTCATAGGCTAGAGTTCCACTAGCCTTATTGATTATCTTGAAGCTGGTGGGGAAGTGTTTCTGGGGGTTGGGGAGCTCTTTCTGCACTTCTGTATAGAAGTGTTATTATCTTTGACCTTTAACTTCTAACCTCAAGCATTTCTTCTCACCCCACCTCCAGATAACATGTTAGTGATCACTGTGGCAACCAAGGAGACAGAAGGATACAAACGTTTCATCCGGACTGCAAAACACTTTAACTACACCGTCAAGGTACACAGCAGCTGTATGAAAAGACGTTGGGGGGGAGGCATCATCAAGCGGTGGAAGAACCTTTGTTGTTGGATGTAGACTGGTGAATATTTATAAAGGACAGTCTGACAGTCTCGCAATTGCTGACCAGTCTATGGTCATGAGATTAGCTTCATATTCCAGATTTATTCAATTAATTGCAATCAAGTTTCCCAGCTCGTGTCACCAAGCATTTGTGCAGACTTCTGGATTACAAGTTCAGTGATATAACCACACTGGTACCGTCCCCACTTCATTGGAAAATGGCAGCATGTGAGCCTGTCTCTGAAGTGGTGCATTACAGTTTCGATACGGAGTTCACGTTGCAACGGTAACCTGAACTTTTACATGCAGGTCTTTTTTCCTGGGTAGGGGAGTCCAAAACAAAACAGCGTAGGTTTTAGGTGAGAGGGGAAAGATATAAAAAGGGCAACTTTTCACACAGAGGGTGGTGCGAGTATGGAATGAGCTGCCAGAGGAAGTGGTGGAGGCTGGTACAATTACAACACTTAAAACGCATCTGCATGCATACTTGGATAGGAAGGATTTAGAGGGATATGGGCCAAATGCTAGCAAATGTTGCTAGATTAATGTAGGATATCTGGTCGTCATGGATGAGTTGGACCGAAGGGTCTGTTTCTGTGCTGTCTATGACTCTGTGTTCAGGTCTGGAGCTGTGGATAATGATGGTAGAGACACCAACTTTCTTTCCATTGTTTGGCTGACCAAAATTTTTTTCCCCAATCAAACCTCCCTTCTTCCATTTGTGTGTGTTGAAAAGATTTCCAGTTTGTTGCTCAACCTGTTTGGCTACATTATGAATACACCTTCCTCATTCATTAAGTCCTGGAGTGGGATTTGAATCCAGAGTTTCAGGCTGTAGAGGCCACTGCAGCACAACACCCCTTGTCCTCTCCCATACTGAAGAAGGGCAATGACCTGGGACTTACAGACCAGTAAGTTTGATATCAGTGATTGGACTGATGACAAAATCAAAAACGTAACAGGAAAGCATCTAAAAACGAAAGTGCAATAGCATAAGTTCATAGTGACCAATTTGACCAATTCCACTGAATTTTGTGAAGCAGTAACAGGAAATGTAGGTAAAGGTAATGTCGTAAATGTAATAATATATTTGGATGATGAAAAATACCTTCGATGAGATAGACCCCTGACTAAAGTCACAACTTTTGGAGTCAGGGGATAGATCAATTGGACAGAAAGCTGGTTACAAGACAAAAAACTGAGAGTAAGAGATGAAAGTAATATACTTGGACTCGAGGCTAGTGTAAAGTGATATGCCGCGTGGCTGGGGTTGCCAATACTCACCACTTACATAAATCGTTTGGGAATTGGAAGACCAATTTCAAAATTTGTGGATGATTCCAAATTGGGGAAGTTTAGTTGGTATTGAGGATGTGCTGAAAACATCAATCAAATCACCTCTCGCTATTCTAAACTCCAGTGAAAGCAAGCCCAGCCTGTCCAATTGTATCCTCCTAAAACAACCTGATCATTCCAGATACGATCATTGGGCAGATACTTATTGATCATAGAATCCCTGTAGTGTGGAAGCAGGCCACTCAGCCCATTGAGCCCGCACCGACTCCCCAAAGAACATCCCACTTAGACCCACCCCCAATAACCCTGCCTTTCTCAGGGCTAATCCACCTAGCCTGTAGATCGCTGGACGCTTTGGACAATTTAGCATGGCCAATCCACCCTAACCTGCACATCTTTGGACTGTGGGAGGAAACCCTTGCAGACCCAGGGAAAATGTGCAAATTGCACACACACAGTCACCCAAGGGTGGAATCGAACCCAGGTCCCTGGCATTGTGAGGCAGCAAGTGCTAACCACTGAGCCACTGTGTCATCATGATGATGGATGACTGTTGACTCCTTGCCCAATTCCATTTGAAGGTTAGATTTTATTCCTTCTAAGAACAAGAACTTTTTGTTTTCTGTAACAGTACAGTTGATAGCCGTACAGATGACGCTGGATAAATTGATGTTGCTTTTTCAATGAGGGGACATCAGTGATTCTTGCTGTTTTTCTTTTTTTCATATGCTAGTGATCTGTTTATACTTGGAAGTGAGTTACTGCTGTAAAACTCATGTTATTCAAAAAATACCAAAATACAGAATACTAAAAAAATTCAACTTTACAAAGGACCTGATTTCCAACAGGTGAGGGCTTTGGAGAAGGTCTGGAAAGTATTCATGAGAATGGTCTAAGGGATGAGGAACTTCAGCTCCATGCAGAGACTGGACAAGTTGAGACTGCTTTCCTGGGTGAAGAGAAGGTCAAGAGGAGGTTAGGTAGAGGTGTTCAAAATCATAAAGGGACTAGACAGAGTAGAGGAGAAAAAACTATTCCTGTTGGTGGAAGGATCAGGAATCAGATGGCTCAGATCTAAGATGATTGGTAAAAGAAGCAATGGAGTTACAAAGAGAAACTTTTTCTTTGCAGCAAGTGGTTAGGATCTTGAATGTGCTACCTGAGAGGTTTGTGCAGGCAGGTTCAATTGAGGCATTCAAGAGGAAATAGGATGATTGGAAAGAATGTTCAGGGTTATGGGACGAAGGTGAGGGAATGGCACTAGCTGTGTTGTTCGTTTGGAGATATGGAAGCCACAGGATGGGCAAATGGCCTTCTGTAGGGAAGCCACATACTGCTTGTAAAATATCCTAAATGGGCTGCAGGAAGACTGGGCTGTAAAAGGTACTGAATCACAAGGCAACACAGGTTAATGAGACTGTAATGTAAAGGGAATTATATCTTTATTCTAAGGATGGCTCCTGAGTATGTCTCATTTTTTCCTCCTTATCCTTAGACCCTGGGACTGGGCCAAGAGTGGAAGGGAGGTGATGTGGCTCGGACAGTGGGAGGTGGCCAGAAGGTGCGGTGGCTGCAAAAGGAAATGGCGAAGCACGAAGCCAAGGAGGACCTGATCGTGATGTTTGTGGACAGGTAGATCTGAGGGTTTCAAGTGGCGGATACAATTAGCCATAGGGTAGCCCTGGGAGAGCCAGCTGGTTGCAGCGTCAGTCCAGGAGAGCACGGATATCTCCAGCTGAGTTAGAGCATCACCAGTCTTGTATTCCAACGTGAACTTGGTACATTGTGCAGTTCTGCATTAGGTCATGTGAACAGCCTCTCCATTTTGTTTAACACTGAGAAATGGCTTCCCTCCCATTGTTGCCTCGAATTTCACGTATCATAATCACACACAGATGTAAACAAACAAACACAAGTGCACACTCCCCCGCACACAGATGTGCAGGCATGCTGCTACGACCTCAGATGATGGTAATACTGGACAATTCAGATCCCAGAGTGAGATACGGGAAAAGACATTTTGTTTACTGGGGTGATCAATCATTGGACAAATTCACAAAAGGTTGCTGATGTAGTGATTGAGTCATACAGCATGGAAACAGATCCTTCAGTCCAACTAGTCCATGCTGAACCTAATCCCAAACTAAACTAGTCCCACCTGCCAGCTCCTGGCCCATATCCCTCCAAACCTTTCCTATTCATGTACTTACCCAGATGTCTTTTAAACGTTGTAATTGTACCCACATCCACCACATTCTCAGGAAGTTCATTCTATATGCAAACCACCCTCTGTATAAAAGATTTGCCCCTCACATCTTTATTAAATCTTTCTCCTCTCACCCCTTATCTTGAAATCCCCCCTCTTAAGGAAAAGACAACTACCATTAACTCTACCTATACCCTTCATTATTTTTTAAACTTCTACAAGGTCACCTTCTAAACCATGAATCCATGCTGCCTGGCTTGTGGTGTTCTTCCAGCATCCCGTTTGTCTACCTGCCATCCTTACCTGGTCTGGCCCACATGTGACTCCAGACCCACGGCAATGTGTTTGACGCTGAACCACCCTCTGGGCAATTAGGGATGCTCAATAAAGGCTGGTCTAGCCAGTGATGCCCTCATCCTGTGAATGAATAAAGAATAAAGCCTCTCAACCTCCTACGCTCCAGTGAAAAAAGTCCCAGCCTAAATAGCCTTTCTTTATAACTGAAGCCTTGTTACACTATACAATAACTAATAGAGACAAACTCATTACAAATATCAGAAGGAAAGATTGAACCATTTTACCCCAACAGTAACCTTACAGACGCTCAACCTCAGTGAAGAGTCACCTCTATCTCCACACTAGAGCTCCTGTTCAGATGGCATAACTGTAATCACTTCCTTCTCAGCAAATTTCTGCCTATAATCAATGCTATTTTCTTTAGTTTATGCCTCTACCTGAGACTGTTGAATAGCTGCTAACTCAGCTTACTCTTAAACACGTGCTCATTAAACTGATGTCTTCAACAGCCTTATAGGATATCTTCCTCTCCGACACCTTGACAGTCTTATGCTTCTGGCTTTTTCTTATAAGTGACACGGGAGTTCTCCCCTCTAGACTGTTTTGGAGACAGTTTAACATTTTTCTTTTTGAGAAACGACCTTCTACCTGAATGAACCCGTTTCTGGACCCCTCTCGCACATGTGCCCTCTCTCTCTTTGGGTTATAAAACTTGGGGGACTTGCTAGTCATTTAGCATATTTAGCTAGAATCACATGATATCTTGGAAATGTCTTTAGCTCACTATTCAAAAATGAGCTGATCTTTATTTAAAAAAAGTACAGATCAGACCTTTACAGAACTGAAGACTAAAATCCATTTTTCCTCAACCTTAGTACCCAAGTTACTAAATAATAACAAAAACATAAATTACTGGAGAAACTCAGCAGGTCTGGCAGCATCTATGGAGAGCAAGCAGAGTTAATACTTCGAGTCCACTGACCCTTCTTCAGAACGGAGTTTCTCCGGCAATTTCTGTTTTTGTTTTAGATCTCCAGTTCTTTGTTATATTTTACCATATAAGCCTTCATCACAACACAAATGGACACACGCATTCTTGCGTGCATAAATAGATATGTGCTCGGGGCAAGCGCATGCAAACATTTTTTTACACGTGGGTGCACAGTCACACTCTCCCTCACAAACACATGCAAACTATGCTTTCACAAATGTGCAGGCTTAGATATACATGCGCAAATATGTACATATGCACTAACATATAGACACACAGGCACAAATGCACGCATACGTGGTCACACATATGAACAGGCATGCACATGCAAATTCAGACAGACAAACGCACAAAAGTGCAGAGGCAAACAAACGCACACCCATGCACTCACACACGTATGCACACAAGCACACATTTACCCCCACACACACAGATGCTCGCATGCACACACACTGGCTAGCCTGTGACACAATAAGCCACAATATACAAAACATATTGTCAGGGCTGTATATTTCCCTCTTGACAGTAGGTAGATAGTGGATGGGTTTTGGAGATCCTCTATCTGGTTTCCCCACATCCAGCAGCCCTGTGTGTTCACAATTGCACGGTCGCCCGCATGCTTGAGTCATGTTGTTGAACATGGCTGCTGACTCTTTCTCACAGTTCACTACATTGGACATTCCTTCCTGCAACACTTCAGACCATCCGTGTTGCCAGGCAGTCCGGCACTTAGGGCAACTCGAAGTCAACACCACTCCTGTCTTTGTGCATGTGTGTTGGAACAAAAAAGGAATTCTGGATGATTTAACTTCTGTTCACTGAAGGAGATCCTGAAAACAAAATCAAGTGGTAAAATATGTGATTACGTTTTTGACCCTAGATTACTTGTGGCAACTTGTCACCATCTTTTCAAGGGCGACAAGGGATAGGTAATAAATACAGACCTAATCACTGAAGCCCATATCCCATCAGCAAATTTAAAAAAAAATTGCTAACACTTCAAGTCCACTGTAGCACAAGGTATGAAGATCTAGCAAACACTGCTGTACCTCCTCTGGCCATGTGTTGGGGAGAGTGTAGAGGGAGCTTCACTGTAACTAACCCTGTGCTGTATCTGTCCTGGGAGTGTTTGATGGGGACAGTGTAGAGGAAGCTTTACTCTGTATCTAACTCGGTACTGTATCTATCCTGGGAGTTTTGATGGGTGCAATGTAGAGGGAGCTTTACTCTGTATCCGACCTTGTGCTGTACCTGTCCTGGGCGTGTTTGTTGGGGGACAGCGTAGAGGGAATTTTACTCTGTATCTAGCCCCGTGCTGTCCCTGTCCTGGGAGTTTGGATGGGGACAGTGGAGGGAACTTCACTCTGTATCTATTTCCATACTGTATATGACCTGCAAGTGTTTGATGGCAACAGTGTAGAGGGAGATTGATGTTTCCAACACTCTCAAGCACTAAATTTATTGTGCAACTGTGCACACATTTCAAATCAGATTGAGAGGCAGCAACTGTTAATGACACAGTCTTGATGGTACTAAATCAGTGAAAGGACGTGTTTTCCAGCCAGGTTTGACTGCTTTGAGCAGCTTGTCTCGGCATCTAAGTACAACTTGACCTCATTACTTTCTGCTTAGGCATGTAACTCAGTACCCATGTGTTCGGTACCCGGTGGCTGTGTGCAGTTGGGTCTGTGCCCAGTTGGTTGTGTCTAATACACAGTGCCAAGATGTGGCTTCTGTTCTTGGCCCAAGGGGTCTTTACACAAAAAATTCACTCAGTCAGGAAAAGCTGTGGCAGACATTTGAAGTAACCTTGGTTTGAACTTTTAAACAAAAATTTACATTGGATGTTGCGGTAGAAAATGATACTGAATGAGGAGAAGAGTGGCACAGTGGGATTAGTTTGTGGTTGATACTGGCTATGGGGAGAGAGCAGGGCAATGAATTAGTTTGAATTGAAACAAAAACAGAAATTGCTAGAAAAGCTGAGCAGGCCTGGCAGCATCTGTGGAGAGAAATCAGAGTTAACATTTCAGGTCAAGTGACCCTTCCTCAGAACTCCTCAAAACTTAGTTTGAATTGACACTGGATTATGGGAACAGGACGAGACAGTGAATTAGTACTGTTGGGAATGACGTGGGGCTGTGGGGAGAGAGCAGGGCAGTGGGATTAATTTGAATTGACATATGATTCAGTGAATTGAGCAAGAGTTTGTTTGATCTGTTGTCTTTCAAATCAAATCTTAAAACGAAGCAACTGTCTGTCCCCTGTAGAAGCTATTAAAGATGTGACAGCTTCTCTTTCAAGGAAGGGCTGGGCTAGGCATCAGGTTCACCTTGATGTCCTAATTCCTATATTTATCCCTAAATCGTCATCACTAAAACAGATGGGGTTTATTCATTGCGGCTTGTGATCTTGCTGTGTAAATAGACTGCCACGTTTGTAACCCAAAACAGTGACTGTATTTGAAAATAATGCTGTCTTGTCTGCAGAGATCCTGATGTTGTGATAGGTGCTATAGAAATGCAGGCTTTCTTACTTTTAAGAATAAAGATGGAAATTGTTGCAATTAACCCTGAATGGAATGCTAAAAGGAGAAAGTTTTTGGAGAGTGTGAAGGGGGATGCTGGGTCTGATGCAAACAAAGTTTGGCTTTCACTTCACTGAACTCAGTTGACTTTTACACGGACCTGCTTGAAGGAAGCAACTCCGACACAAGTGAGTACCTATTCAAAGTTAAAATGAGCATTTCCTAACTCCCTCAATAAGCTGGAGATGTGAGCACTGTGATTGACGGAGAGAACACATGGCCCCATTCAACCCTCGTAGAACTTAATAGAAAGCAATTTTATAGGTGCATCTCCTCTCTCTTGCACACACACTCTCATTCTCTCTCTCTTGCACGCACTCTCTAAGTCTCTCTCTCTTTCTTTCTCTCTCTCATAGACACAAACATTCTCCCACACACACATGCACTCTCTATCTCTCTCTCTCACACATACACACACTTTCTCTCACTTTCACTCAATTTCTCTCTCACACACACACATCCACACACACTCTCATTCTCTCTCTCACTCACACTTTCACTCTCTCACACACTTTTTCTCTCTCTCTCTCTCACACACACACAGACAGACA